ACCCTAAAAGCACCCATCAGTACTCCAACAGTCGGACTTGGCGCAGAACAATTTACAAAAGAGACAAAAGAGTTTTCTGACGAAGGAGAATAGTGTCTCATGCTCGCTCCGTTTGTCGTTAGTCAGAGGATATTGGTCACAGTGGACAAGTTGGACCCAAATGTGTCGCTCCGGAAACCAGGCTAGATCCAGGACTTGCGTAAATCCTCTGCCTGAGAGTGGATTGGAACCGTTCTGTGATGACGTGGCAGACACTGAGAGGCGGAGCTGTTTGGGATCCAATGGCAGTAAGTATTTATTGACCGTATCATAAAACTGAAGTATTACTGTCCGGTGGTAGATTACAAAAAGTGGCATTCATAGGGGAATGTATTCACAGGTCCGATGTCTGAAATGTCCCATGATCAGGAAGCCTGCATCAGTTATAAATTTCATCCTTTTGTGAATAAAAAAGTGAATTATGCACTGTGACTTCCTAACAATAATTAATTACAGTTTTGTCCTTTTTCATTGGCAGGCTTGTGGACGGGATCCAACTCTTCCAGTGCTTCACCGATGTCAACCATTGCCATGCCATCTACTCTTTCTAGTGGCATTATTTCGTCAAGTCAATATGGTGTCACACTGTCGCCGAGTCCAGCCAGTGGTGTGCTATCTTCAAGTCAGATCCTTGTTGCACTGTCTTCAAGTCAAACTGATACTACCGTACCCTCAAATCTCCGTAGTGTCACTCCATCTTCCAGCCAGTCCCGCATCACACTCCCTTTAAGTCAGCTTCTCGTCACACCATTTACAACAATAACGACACTCCAAGAAACAATCCAAAGGTTGTTCAAGGGAACAACTTCTAACGCAGTGGAAGCATTTCAAATATTAAATAGTTCCATTCCCTTTGACGGAACTACTTCACGTCCTTACTATGCCAACAGTGCAACTGACTCGACTATAGTTGAGACGAATATACCAACTTTGATAAGGGATCAAACTTTGTCCCTTTTCCTAACACAATCTAAGTCGCCTTTTCACAAATCCGTGTCATTGAATAGCAAGTTAATGGCAAACACCGTTGGCCAAGCCAGTCACAATCTTGCAAGTACATCAAGTCTCACAAGTGGCAATTTTACTTCTGTGATTTCACCAACAATTTTTCAACTCCACCAGTCTGCTGAAATTTCTCGTGCAGTTCCTGCCATGAGCGGAAACAGCTTCCAAGCTACTGTTGGTTTGTCCACAAAAACAAGTGCTTCCCGAAAATCGCTATTATCAGTGACAGGAGACATACCACTCTCTCGGGTTACGTCGTTGACTATTTCCCGGAGTTCCACAAATGAAAAGTCAAGCCTCAGCAACGTATCCTACGAGGATTCGTTGGTTACAGACACACCTATCGGTACATTAACCATCAACAGTCTTCATCACGAAACCATGCAGAAGACGCGATACATTAGCTTACATAGCATTGCTAATATCCCCAGTCAAACCAGCCTGACAGGCATAGCGTCACAGGCAGCTGATTCTATTTATTCAACATCAACAGCATCGATATCGAGCTGCCATCAAAGTGTACCGTCATCATCGGACTCATGGAATTACCATCTCCATTCCAATTCAAAGAGTAGCAGTTCAAAAGCCTACTGCAGTACATCTGTAGATTACAGGATCACAGACCCACTTGGTACCCAAAGTGTTCCAATTTGGAATAGGTCAACAATAGCCATTGTAAGCTTTAGCGGAAAAACAACCTTGATCAGCGATAAGTTCTCTTCGTTATCGAGGACTTCAGGTAACATTTAGAGAGTGCTAGAAATGAGATATTAGACCACTTTTATACATATTTTGGTACTGCCCTGTTAGGCAGAGCAGGCAGACAGACATGTAGATAGAGACTGACAGACAGACAGCCGTCAGACGGACTAACTGACTGACTGTCTCACAGACAGACTGACACAGACAGACAGACACTGACAGACACACAGACAGAGACTATCCGACAGACAGACAGACAGGCCAGACAGGCAGGAATCTCTTGCTGTTAAACAAAGACGACTGAATATGTATCATCTTTTTGTTCTACAGATTATTCAACAACTTCCACTCTTGGAAGCACTTTACGTGGGAAGCATATCATGGGCGTCAGCCCGTCCAATAACATATATCCGTCTCCAGCATCTTACACAAGACTTTCAACTCAAATGTCTATTGACAGTTATACTGAACCACATCAGCAGCATGTCACTTCTATTTATAAAGTGCAAGTCACGCCGACCGGAGCCACTCCCATGTGTTGTGGATCAACCAGGTCTGACGACACTGTTATGTTTCAAGCACATAGACAAAGTTCTCGCAACTCATCCAAGACTATAACAGATTCGCTGATGAGAACTGCAAAGGGAGCTGCGTATACCTTTAACAGTGTATCCAGCGATCCAACACGAGGAAGAAGTGCTCGCGAATTATCAGCGACCCTGCAAATGGATTCACTTAGAACAGTGAAGGGATCCTACAGTAAATCCATAGAGCATACACATGGACAAAATATTCCTTACCCATCAACTACTCTGCAAATGGATTCCCTTAGAACGGGGAAAGAAACTTACAGTACATCCCTAGAAATTACACATGGACAAAATACTCCTGACAGATCAACGACAGTGCAAATGGATTCCCTTAGAACAGTGAAGGAAACTTACGGTACATCCACAGAAATTGCACAAGGACAAAACGTTCGCGACCCATCAGCGACTCTGCAAATGGATTCCCTTAGAACAGTGAAGGGAACATACAGTGCATACGTAGATCAAACACATGGACAAAATACTCTCGATCCATCATCGACTCTGCAAATCGATTCCCTTAGAACAGTGAAGGGAACATATGGTGCATACATAGATCAAACACGTGAACAAAGTACTCGCAGCTTATCAAAGTCTCCACGAATGGATTCTCTCATTATCAGAACAGCAAAGGGAAGCACAGAATACGGTGTGTCCACTGTACAGGGTAGTTTCGTTGCTGTCGAACAGTCGGAAAAGGCGAGCAATTTTCAAGGACAGTCACAAGTATCATCTTTTCAAGTTCAACCATCATTTTCAAGTTTATCTCCTACTATATCACCATCGCACACAGGTAAGTAAATGTCTGAAACTCAAAAGACCGGATTTTCTTGGAGTTTATGTGCAATGTATTAGAACACCAGGGGTTTCAGTAACTTTTTCAGCAGGGTGGCATCTCAGTGGTTTTCACAGGCGGGCGAAACTTTTGAATTGAACTTCTCGATAAGAAAAACTCTCGGCTAAATGGTCAAACCAGGCTCACAGCCAGTCAATTTGTTCGGTGCCTGGCCGCTAGTGAAACCCCTGGTTGTTCCACGTAAAGATGTAATCTCAGCTGTTTCTTAGCAATTGGCTGTGACAGTCGAGCAATATAGCCAACTCTCGTTGTAGTGGAGACCCTCGGGACAGTCATTTGCGAGGGTGTCCATAAAAGAGAGGGTGTGATAAAAATGAGCAATCGTTTGGTTTTGAACTGTTACATATAACGTATGCTGCTAGACTCTTCAAAGATAGAATAGTGTACAAACTAGTACAGATTCCAAGACCGTAGAATGATTATCATTCAAAACGACCAAGTTGTCCGTTGTAACGGGGGAAGAACAAAAAAATATCTGTTTGGGACCACATGAAGTGTCCTCAATTCCTTAACAGCGGGAGTTGTTTCCATACATTTGTTTGTAGTTTTGGTCGGGGATGTAGGTTCCGGGTGGTGGGGGGGGGGGGGGGGGG